GATGACTACAGGAGATTTGGATTTGTCCAGGGTCCCTGTTGTCTTGCGTGCCTCAGGGATGAAACTAGGAGAAGAAGGGATCCCGATGGTAACCGTGTCAGGAATAGATCGCCTGGAGGCGTACCTGAGACGAACCCGACGCGGTCGTACTCGCCGCCTCTGCGGCCACCCGTTGACAGATTCCGTGACACTCCAACTGGGGGTCAACCCAACGCGGCTGACCTTCAGAGGCCTCCGAAGGCTACGCAACCCGTGCCCCTGGATAAACGTGAAACCGGATATTATCCAGGATTCGATCCAAACGGTACAAGGCCGAAGGATCCTTCAGGCCTTGAGCCGCCGACCATGCGTGGCCCCGATCCTCCTGACAAGAAATGTCGGATGTGTGATCGGGATATTCCTGACCCCAGCAAAATTGAAGAATGTAAGATATGCATGAAAAGGGCATGTGCAAGTTGCATTCCGAAGGCTACTCGCCTTTGTCCTGTATGTGCATTGTCAATCGGTAGTTCTCAGGTTCCACAGCATCTTTTCGGAACTGGTGGCGGCGGGTACGGTAGCCAACATGATCCGAACTGTACAGCTGCGACTAAGTGCATTCCCATAGACCTCCCGCCAGAGCCCGACGCGGCTGGGCTGAGGGTATGGATAGCCAATATGAAGGAAGCAGTTAGCAATGCCTACAGCTATGATGGACTTTACGTCATCAATTGGCTAACTGAAGTCGAGAAGGCAAAGACCTTTGATGAACTGGATGGGGAATGTAAGTACCACATCCTCGAAGCCAGGTTCAATGCAGCCATTCGGAAGTGCATCAAGACTGTTGCGATCATCGATAAGATTAATCGTCTCACCGAAGCCGCTCAACGCTCCAACAATCGCATCAAGAGTAGGCAGATCCTGTGGCTCTTATACGACCACTTAAGGACTGCGAATATCGGAGAGCAATCGTTCAGGATAATTGAGCTCTCAAACTTACGATGCAGTACATCATCTTTCTATACTGAAGAGGAGCGACTTGAAAGGTTCATCGCGAAGTGGGATCACATCCTTGCGGGTCTCGATGAACCGCTGACCGAACAGGTAAAGCGGTCGCTATTCAGTGAGAAGGTTAGACACCTCAACTGTTTGGCTCATGATATCAGGGAATGGGATAGAAACATATCCAACCCTGATGTTTGTAGCTATGAATGGCTTCGTGCTCGTTGCAAGAACGAAATTGACCGTTGGAGGGTTCGTAAGAATCAGGTCAATATGCACAAAGACTTTTATGAGCGATCTCAGTCCAGGGACAGAGCCCAGAAACCTGGTGCTCCTGGTCCTCCTGTTAGGAGACGATCTCCGTTTGGAGATTCCCATAGGCCTAATCGGCCTCCTAGTGATCCGAGGAAGAGGACCGGTAATACCCCAAGTCCTCATCGAAGGGATAGGTACTCTCCCAGGAATCGGGAGCAGGACAAGCGGCGTACGCCTAGCCCTAGGGGCGAGCCCCCAAGGAGGCCCAGGTCTACGTCGCCTGGCGCTCCTGCGATTGATGCGTGCAGGGACTTCGCGCGTGGATACTGTTCGCGCGGACAAGAGTGCAAATTCGCACACACAAGAACTGGGAGTTCCGATGCGAAACGCAAGGAGCGTCCTCCCCTGATTCCAGGATATTGCGCCCAATGGGTTTCCTATGGAAAGTGCATGAGGGATAAGTGTGATTACAAGCATGCAAAGCCACCTGAGCATTTGCTGAAAGAAGCGAAGCAACACACTGCGGCCCCAGCGACCGAGTCGATGCGCAGCCCGAGTCTGCTGAACCTACTACCACTGCTGACGACAGGACATATAGTCCTGCCCCTGATTTGTCAGCGGGTTTTTGAGAGGGGCGGGCCGTCACCCTCAGGCTATAGGGCTTGTTGCCTGCCCTGCTCATCCCATAGCCAAGGCATATGAAGAGTATAGAGCTCGGTTTCAACGCCCTGAAGGGACAATGGAGTGGTCAGTGACCACTATTGGCGCTCGTACACTGCAAGGTACATGTCCGGGCGGCCCGAATATCAGAGCTGTAATTCGCAGACGAACGATTCGTCTCTCGGACAACGCTCTGATTGATGATGTCGATTTGAGTGTACCGACTCGCAAATCCGTTTTATTCAGACGGATTCCTGGGCCAATTGACATTAGGACGGAATTCTATTACCTGCCCGGTAAGTGCGGCCAGTATAACTCTGAGCTCGCGAAGGCTGTGAGGATTAAGCTCACTGCTCGCAGGCTGAGTTTCAATGACAATGTTGAAATTCAGCAAGTTGAGAATATAAGGACACGTGACGAGCCTAGGCCGATCATGAATCGGCGGTCACATTCTCACCCCATTCACCCGGATAGATTGCGTCAACCTCCCGAGGTGATTGCGATGTCCGAGGAAAATGCTAGAATCCTAGCTGCCACTACTAGACAGATTGTACAGTTGCAATTAGGTGAGTATGTACCTGATAATAGGTGGGCTCGTCGCCCTCGAATGATCAGGGAAAATGTTCCTGATCAGATGCCTGCTATGCCTGGCCCACAAATTGAAATCCGGTGGCTTGCTGACACTGGGTGTCCTTTCGATTTGGTTGGGATGCACGACATTCCCACACAGGATCATCGCCACATCAAGAATGGGCGAATCCAACATTCCTTGCAAACCGCAAATGGAGTTGCTGGGACTCAAGGTAGAGTTGATGCAACTGTTGAGTCACTTGACGAGGATATTGAAGCCTTCGTCATGGATAATACACCCTCGATTGTATCGATAGGGCGTAGGTGTGTGGATTCGATGCTCTGTGGGATGCTTACACGCCTGTTCTCATCATCTATCCGAGAACTGTTAGGCTCTGATGTTATGCAACGTCCTACAATTCGTTTCAAAGGGCTGGTTATGCTGAGCCCTGAAATTTAGATGCATGTCCCAGATACTGCAATGCCTGGTCCAGCAATCAAGCATGAACGATTCATCACCCGAGGTGCCCTCTGAGGCTGACGCGCTCGACGAGGCAGTTGTTGGAACAAAACAATTTGAGGGCTACGCAAACCAGGCCCAGTTACGTAATAGCTTGAAACGCTTCAACACATGATGTCACATTTGCCAAAGAATCCTTTTTGCCCACATTGCCAACGCGCAAAGATGGAAAACGTGCGTTTGCACCGCCGGGGCGGTGCCGACGCGCATGAATGCACGAAATTCGGTGATATTGTCACTGTTGACACGATGGTGTTACACGGTTTAAAGGACCGTGGTGTGAATGGTGAAACAGACGCAGTCGTGTTTTACGATCTTGCGACTAAGTACATAGATGTACTCCCTGTTTTCAGTCGGTCTGTACCTAATACGGTAGAAGCTTTTCACAAGTTTATGGGTCCTGAACCCAAGATTGGTCTGCTATACTCGGACCAAGCTAGAGAGTTTCTTGCGGCTACTCGCCGAATGGCTTGGGTGCATCACATGTCCACACCCGGAATGCCAAAGACGAATGGCATCATTGAAAACAAAGTGAAGCTAGTTCTGCATGGAGCAAGAGTACTCCTCAGACAAGCCGGCTTATCACCCAAATGGTGGCCATTTGCCGTTCGCGCATTTTGCGCAGCCAGAAATCTCGAAAATCGAGGTGAAGGAACCGCATGGGGAAAGAGAAACGATGACAGGGACTTTCCCGGTCAGCTCATCCCATTCGGATGTCTTGTTGATTTCAAGCCAATCGCGCCAAAACCGCGTAGGCTCGAAAAGGGGGGGC